CCTCCCTCCTTTGTGGCCCGCCCCCCCGGCACCTTCCGCCCCCCCCCCCCCCCCCGCACACACCAGGCGCCACTCCCTGGGAGATCAACCTCATGGCCTCGGGCCCAGTTGTGGCTGCAGACGTGGGGATCCTGCCAGCTCAGAACTCTTTAAGCTGTCACTCTCACCATGCTATTCAAGAATTTTCTGGATCAGAAGAAATGAGGACGTGAGGTCAGGAGGCCTGGCTTCCTGGGTGAAATGGTCTAAGCTCTGGTTGTGATGCGGAAGGTAGGTGGATGCTCAGGGCAGAGACCTCCCCCACTTCCTTGCATTGTCTGAGTGGAGCCAGGCTAGGTGGCTCCAGACCCCCAGAGCCCTCTGTCCACACCTGGCTCAGGCACCGGATCTCCACGTTGGGGCTGGCAGGAGGCCCAGTGGGCCCTGCAAGGTCGATCACAGCATACTCTGGGACCCCGCTGTTCCCCAGTGGCTGAAACACAGGCTCAGTCAGAACGGCCTGTTCTTGGCAGCAGGGATGGTCCGCAAGCCAGAGCAGGAGGAGGGAAAGGCAGGGGGTGGATTTTGCAGAGTCAGAGTCCTTGCAGCCCGTTCACTATGTCTCAGTGTGACCTCAGGTGAGCCACCTAACTTCTCTGAGGCCCAGCTTCCCAAGCTATAAAATGGGGATAGAAAGTTTTCCCTTAGGGTTATAATAAATATTTCTGATAATGCTTTTATCACTCAACAACTGGGAACTCCTGGAATGATTAATTTGTTTCCATGATTATTATTTCTATCCTTGAAGCAGGAAGAACGTGCAGGCTGCAGGATCTTTGTAATAGGCCTGGAGAGAGCAAAGTTGGACACCTCAAAGATTCACCAAATAACAAACAGCACAGGAAGAATTCTTTAGGGATCATGGGTCTGAGCAATCCCTCCCTGATCAGATGAGAAAACCGAGGCCCAGGGAAGAGAGGTGGGTAGTCCAGAGCGAGCGCGGGAGCCCGTCTCCTGGCCTGGGCTCAGCTGCCCCCGTGGTCCTCAGGTCAGAATGCCGGGCCCCTCCGTCACCTGCTCCCTTGCCCAGCAGCTGAGCAGAGCAGAGGCTGGAGCTGGCCAAGGCCCCCAGCCATGTCTCCTAACAGCACAGCTGCCCGGAGGTGGCCTGGCCAGCAAACCCCTGGCCTGATAGGCACCGAAGCCAAGGAAAGAAGCTCCCATTTTCTAGATAACTACGAGGTGTCTCATCTCACTCGTTCCTAAACACAGTCTCGTGAGATGGGGAAGCCGAGGCTCAGAGCGGTGATGTAACTTGCCAGATGTCACACAGCTGGTGAGTGGCTGAGCTGGGCCTTGTCTTCGTGATTCTTTGGTCTCAGACTCTTTCCTACACCTACACTCTTTCCTGGTAGGGCGTCCTGCACACTTCTCTTTGTGGCAGTGTCCCTTGTCTACTAACTGGGCCCCTGCTTCTATCAATACCCTAGGTGGGGGACATGGGGGCAGAGGTAGATGTTTGAGCCACCTCTGGTGACACCTTCAGTTTTACGGGGACAAGGTAAGAGTCAGAACAGGATCCGTCAGGTGAGATGTGACTGGGGGGATGAGGGCCTGAAGGAATAGGGGAGGGGGAGGGAGAATTCACAAATGCTGTCACTCACGACCCTCGTGCGTCCCAGCCCTGCCTGTGGGGAGGACATGGCAGAGCTGGGGTTGGGCCAGAGAGCTCCTGACATCAGGTCCATTTCCCATGAACCCCATACTGACAGCTTTCTGATTTGGTCGAAACCCAGCCACTGCTGACCGCGGACCACCAACAGCTGCAGAAGCGTCACCTTCTCAAGGGTGACAGAATTTGAGGAAAGAACCTCAGGGGACAGAGAGCAAACCGCACATGTAGGCTGTGGCCAGGACCGCTACCCTCTGTCCAGGGGGGCGTCTGCATCTCTCAATGGTCCCTCTGCCCACGCAGTGGACCCTGGGCTGTTCCAGCGAGCGTGGAGGCATTTTCTGGGTTGTTGACTATACGAGATCTATACGAGAGCCTCTACTTCTAGGCACTAGAAAAAACGGTAGCAAGGCATGGAGGTTCTCCCTCCGAGCCCAGCCCCTCTTCTGGAGTTGGGGGAGGGGTGAGCCTCAGGACACCGAGCCAGGAGGAGGGCCCTGGCAGTGGCCGTGGCAGCCCCTCCATCTGTTTCCATGACCTTTCCCTCACTCCTGTCCACCCCTTTGGTCTTGCTGAGCTTCCTGAGATAAAACAGCTGCTTCCCAAGTGAAGGAAGGCCCAGTACCCCATCCCACCGCAGCCCCTCCCTAGAGGGATCGGGCCTGAGTGTTTTGTCCCTGCTGGCGCCAGGAAAGAAGGCAATGGCAGCCCCCCTTTCCTGCTCCAGTGTTTAAGGGAATCAGGGTGGAGGCATCTCAGTAAACAGCTGAGGAAGGAGAGGCTGGGGGCGGGGGTGTTGGTGAGGCAGATGAGGCAGTGACTCTCTCCGTAGGAGTGCTGGTGTGGGAAGAGGGTCTCTCTTTGCAGGGGTCAGGGAGGGGCCCAGCAGCAGGTAGACTCAGGGCAGCTTCCTCTCTCCAGGATCATGGGCACAGGGACCCCCATTCTGTCTGTCCCCCGGTCTCCAAAGCACCACCCGCAACCCGAGTGTCAAGGTAGCTACACCACCTTGGTCTCAGAGCCAACGAAAGCTCAGAGAAGGGTGTTATGGAAAGAGGAGAGATGGCAGTCGAGAGCTCTGGATCCTGCTCTGTATCTGGGCCACAGCCTGCTGTGTGACCTCGGGCAAGACTTTTTACCTTTCTGGGCCTCAGTTCTCCCTTCTGCAAAAGCAGACTAGAGTCTATTGGTAGTCACATTCTGGTGTGCTATCAGAATCCCCCAGGGCAACGTTTAAATTTCAGGTTCCTGGCCCCCACCCCAAGAGGTTCTGGCTGGGACCGATGTCGGGGAGAGTGTATTTCTAATAGCCGCCCACACACACCCCAAGGTGTTCCGTAGGGGATTTTGCACCAAATTTAGAGAAAGGCTGGACTAGCTGATATCAAAGCCCCCCCGTGGAGCCAGCTCCAATGTTCTCTGATTCTAAAAGGGGAGATGGGAAGAGGGCCTTGGGCCTGGAGCAGAGCCCCGCTGGCACCCGGTGGGAAGTCTGGGTGAGGAGGGCATGAAGGGCTGATCTCGGGGCTCACACAGATTCCCTGGATGTGGGAAGCAAGTCCTGCCTTGAGGTCAGCCGTGGAGGACCAGGCAGGGAGCCAGAGAGGCAGGGCCTGGGAGTCGGACGCAGAGGGATCTGAGCTTGGGCTTGCCTCCTTCCTTACCAAGTGGGAGAGATGGACCTTCTCCTTCCTCTGTGTCTCCGTGGCCAGTTGAGCTGAAAGAGACCAGAAGTGTTAAGGGAACCATTGGCTGAAACCGCCCACCCTGGCCAGGCCTGTTAGTAACCACTTGCATGAGTTATCTTAAACAGGAGGTCCTGGTAAGGAATGCAGAACTAACAAGCTACCACCAACTAGAAGAATTCAGGAAAGGTCAGAAGGAGAGAGGAGACTCCAGTCCGTATGTCCTACCAACCTCCCAGAATCCTTCTCGCTGGAATCCATCTTGAGTGAGTGATGCGTGGGCCACCAGAAAGGACCCTGAGTCAGAATGATTGGCCAGAGACAACCCGGAAACTAACCCCATTCCCATAAAACCCGAGACTGCGAGCCACGTGGCAGAGCAGTTCTCCCGGGTTCCCTTACCCTCCTGCCCTCCGCCCGGGTGCCCCTTCCCAATAAAGCCTCTTGCTGTGTCAGCATGTGTGTCTCCTCAGACAATTCATTTCTGAGTGTTAGACAAGAGCCCACTCTCGGGCCCCGGATGGGGTCCCCCTTCCTGCAACAGAAGGAGCACCTTGAAGCCAGGAGTAGCTGGGAGTAGTCTGCAGCTGCTCCCACATAGGTGGACTGGGTTCCTTGCACCTGGGGCTTCCCAGAGGGAGCTGGCAAGCAGATTGGGCCGAGAACCCCAGCACCCCGGCAATGACCTGGACTTTTGAGATTGGTACATGGAAATCCCCTCGCGTGGGCCGGAAACTGGCTAGGGAAGTGATCCTGTATGCCAAGGTCATTGCTTCTTAAATCTCAGTGTGTGTATAGGACCTTGGGAAATTTTACTCAAATGCAGATTCTAATTCAGTAGGCTGAGGTTGGGGCCTGAGAGTCTGAGTTGCTAACAGGCTACCAGGGGATGTTGCTGCTGCCAGCTGGGGACCACGATTGGAGAGGCAAAGTGCTAAGAGGCTCTGAGGTTGTGACGGGAACGTTCTCACCCTGTGTGCTCCTCCCGACTCCTCTGAGGGGGCCTAGGGATGTGGGCAAAGCTGACATTTCTTCCTGGGGGCCACACAGAGGGGAGTCACGTAGCAAGCCCAGCGTTCCCCACCATGGCCACCAGTGCTGGGACAACACTGCCAGTTTGCAAAGTTGGCTTCCTGGTTCTACCACTTTCCAGCTATACAAACACAGGGCATGTTGCTTAACCACTCCGTGCCTCAGTTTCCTGCCCTGTAAATTGGGGGTATTTGTAGGTGTTGAATAAGTAGTTCCTAACTCGACAGTATTGAGGAGATTAAAGGAGATAAAAAGAACATAAGCCACACCACTGCGCTGGGCACAAGGCAGCTCCCGTTACTGTTGCTTCGGTTAAACCCTCTTAATCTGTGCCATCCACTACGGGAGCTACACACGGCCACTGAGCACCAGAAATGTGACTACTCTGAATTACACTGGGGTTGAAAGACTCAATTGGAAAAAATGAACGTAGAATGTGTGTCATTAGTATCTTTTTTTTTTAAAATACATTTATTCATTTATTTATTTATTTTTGGCTGCATTGGATCTTCGTTGCTGCACGCGGGCTTTCTCTAGCTGCGGTGAGCGGGGGCTACTCTTGGTTGCGGTGCGCAGGCTTCTCATTGCGGTGGCTTCTCTTGTTGCGGAGCGTGGGCTCTAGGCACGTGGGCTTCAGTAGTTGTGGCAGGTGGGCTCAGTAGTTGTGGCTTGCAGGCTCTAGAGTGCAGGCTCAGTAGTTGTGGCACACGGGCTTAGTTGCTCCGCGGCATGTGGGATCTTCCTGGACCAGGGCTCGAACCCGTGTCCCCTGCATTGGCAGGCGGATTCTTAACCACTGCACCACCAGGGAAGTCCTCATTAGTATCTTTATATTGATTCCATGTTGAAATGATAATGTTTTGGATATATCATGTTAAATAAAGTGTATCGTTAGAATTAACTTCACTAGTTTCTTCTTTTTCTCATGTGACTATTGGGGAATTTTAAATCACACGTGTGGCTTCTATTCTATTTCTGTTGGGCATATATCTGAGGAAGCTGAGGCTCACGGAAGTTAGATGACTTACCCAAGGTCACACAGCTAAAAAGTGGCAGAGCTGGAATTTGAAGCCAAGCCTTGAAAGGAGCTGAGCACCTCTAGAGACCCAGCGGCAGGTGTGGGGCCATAACACACATCCTGCTCAAGTTCAAGTGCTCAGGCCTGCACTTCCCCCTGTAGTCAGTCCTCGTACAAGAAGCAGAACCTACAGGACTGGACATGGATTCACTGGGATCGACTGGGAGAGAAGTGGCTGATGAGGTTGGTCGGACAGACCAGAGCAAGATGAGAGCCCCCCAGCCTCTTGCTCCCCCATTTGAATTGCTTGTGCCTGGTGTGGACGGCCCTGCGGGTCCCTCGGAAAAGAGGAGCAGGGCTCCTGATGCCCACGTCTCGGACGCATATGCCGAGGCCCGCGAGGTCTCTCTGGGGCGGTAGTGGGGACTGTGGGTCTCAGCGAGGCCCCTGGCTGACAGCCTCTCACCCCTCCTGTCTACACTGCTCACCTTTCTTCCTCCATTGGAGCATGTAGCTGCCGAGGGCGGCCAGGCCTGTGGCCAGCAGAAGGGCCAGCAGCACCAGGACCGGGGCCAACATGCGGGTCATCGGGATGGACACCCTGCGGACGAGATGGAAGGAGACTGGTGGCTGTCATCAGATGTCGGCGGCACACTGGGCATTCTTATTCTGAGTCCCAGTCATATCCCTCGTCTCTCCCAAGGAGGTCAGAGGGTGCCAGGGGTTAGTCCCAATGGAGGGGCCTCAGCCCCCATCGCCAGCCCTAGGGGGCGCTTCCAGCTGGGTCTGAACCTGTGGGTAGTTACCTGGCCACCAGCAATGGAGGGCGGTTATATATAAAGACCCAAGAGCCAGTCCTTCAGGCTGGGATTCCAGTCGGGTAAGAAAACATCACATTGTTTGGTTCTACAGTTTCCTGCTTAGCACAGGGCCCAGTGTAAAGTGCACAAACAAGAACGACTGAACTGGGGTGGCTGTCCCTGAAGCCGGGCAGGGAGCGAGGTGGGGACTGGGGCCATGGCGGACCCTTCACCTTGGGCGGGCCTGCGTGTCCAAGGCAAAAGGGCTGCCGGCCCCCGTAATGTAGGTCGTTCACTGCTCCAGGGCCCTGCTGGGTAGGGGGTGGGATGGGGGCTGAGTCTGCCCTCTCTGCATGTCTGTGGCCACGACAAGAAGCTGTGTTCTCCCAGAGGAAGGAGTATTGTGTTCTTATTTGCTCAGGGGCACCTTATGGTTCAGTGATGACCTGAAAAGGTGGCCTTGGTTGGAGCTGCTCACCTGGTCTTGGAGCTGCTTCTGATGGGGACAAAACCGGTGTCCTCTGTTGAGGTAGAGTCTAGCCGTGTGGCTTGGTGGGAGATCCCTGCAGGAGGAGAGGTTGCTGGGTGAGGAGAGGTCCTTGCAAATGGAGAGGTTGCCGGGTGAGGAGAGGTCCCTGCATACGGAGAGGTTGCTGCATGCTCGGATGGGGAGGTCCCTGTGAATGGAGAGGCCTCTGCCCCTGTCTTCCCCAGCTTGGCTGTGGTGACTGTCGGGTGGAGACCAGCAGAAGTTACAAGTCCAAAAGCAATGCCTCAGCACCTTCTCTGATCCTTGATTCCCAGCATTCCCAGACCCCTGACCCTTGACCCCTGAACCCTAATCTCCCCAGGACCAGTTTCTCAGAACTTCCCCAGCTACACCTCAAACAGAGGCCTTGAGGAAGCCATTTTGAGCAAGCAGGTCATATCTCAGGAACACCCCAAACCTGTGCGTGGCTCTCAGCTCCCCCCCATTTGAGCTGCAGCCTGTCCTTTATTGTGGGGAGGTGCCATCCTCCAGCCCCCACCTCCATGACCCTGAACCCCTCCCAGGGAAGGAGGGACATTTGTTACCTGGAAAGACGAGCAAGGAAACCGAGAAAGTCTTATCGAAGCCCACTCTTTTGACTCCACACCAGTACTGCCCCACGTCCTTCAGGGTGAGGTTCCTCAGGGTGACCTCAAACCTGAGCTGCCGGGGGTTGTCGTGGACGGACACCCTGCCTTCCTGGCCATATTCTCCAGAGTAGACAGTCCCAGAGCAGCGGGAGATCAAGAGCCCGCTCTCCCTGCACCAGTATTTCCTGTACTTCTTCAGCTCTTCCCCGTAGGTGCACTGCAGGGACACAGTGTCACCTTCAAAGCCACTGATCTCCTTCGGGCCCTCCAGGGCTCCATAACCTGAAACCACAGCAGGGATGAAGGTTGGAATTCCCTGATTCAAGTACCAGGATCAGGACCAGAAGGCTTTCCTCAGTCACTCCCTTCTTGGGGCAGCCCTGGTAGGAGCTGGTACTCCACTCTGCCACCGAGGGATCTTGGGACAGGACTGTTACTGTTTCCCTACACCTGGCATATTGAAGGCTGGTGATGGGGAAGATCTAGATTCATACAGCCCAGAGTTTGAATCCCAGCACTGCCACTTAGTAGCTGTGTGACCCTGGGGAAATTGCTTGAGCCCTCTGAGTTTTCTCACCTATAGATGATGACAATGTCCTATTTCATTGAATTAAGATGCTATCATATGTAAGAGCCACCGTAATTTTATAAAACATTAAGAAAAAAACACTGTCATTTGAACAACTGACATCAGTTATAAGATGCATCCTAATTTTTTATGTTAAAAGGTTAAAAAACGAAAGAAAGAAAAAAAAGAAAAGCAGGCTTGTGAATTGATGAAACAGGATAATTTATCTCTCGGGGCTGTTGTGAGTGGTACAGCAGAGGTTCAAGAAATATTTGCTGAGTTTAATGTGGCAACATTAAATAAGGGGTGTCTTGTCTGTCTCCAGGCTGGCACAGAGTCAGGAAATGAAGACAAAAGAGGTAAAGGTACTCTCACAGCCACTTGGACATGAAGGGTCTGGAGCCCACAGGTCTGGGGGAAGACCTGGCTCTGGGTTCCAGAAACAGCAAGAGCCCGCACCCTCTGAGGGCTGAGGACGAATGGGGAGGGGTGACACCTGGGAGGATCAGGCAGCTGGGCTGGGTCACCCCCACAAGGAAATGTAGGTTCAGTAGGTCCCTCTCTTGCAGACCCAACGGGCAATAAGAACAAGCAATAAGGATGTTGGGGATAAGCCCCACATCCCTCCATCCCCGTCCCGCATCTCACCATCCCCGCCCCCCATCTCACCTGGGAGCACGAGGCAGCCCCACAGCAGGACGAGGGGCCGCATGGTGAGCGCTGGCCAAGCGGGAGTGCACGCCGGGAGCTGGGAGTTCCTCTCCGGGCCGCGCGGGGCTTTAACTTCCTCCAGAGGCAAAATCGAGAGAAGGAAGGGAGGGGAGGGGCCGTGTGGCTCCCCCAACCGGGGGAGGCGCCTCTGCTGATCCCTTCAGTACTTACCCTTGGTTCACAGCGACCCGCACCCGAAAACCCACCGAGCGCTTCTCCCAAACCCATGCCCTTTCAGGGGGTCTTAACCATGCCCCCGGCCGCGCACCCCAGAGGGCCTCTGTGTAGAATTCAAGGAGTCCATGAATCTGGGCGGGGAAATAGTGCATCTTGCCTTTTCACTAAACTTTACGTAATATTTATTTTTCCTTGTATGACGAGTAGTGTTCGCAGTGCCGTGACTGTCACCAATTAAAAATCACAGACACTAGGGGCTTCCCGGGTGGCGCAGTGGTTGAGAGTCCACCTGCCGATGCAGGGGACACGGGTTCGTGCCCTGGTCCGGGAAGATCCCACATGCCGCGGAGCGGCTGGGCGCGTGAGTCATGGCCGCTGAGCCTGCGCGTCCGGAGCCTGTGCTCCGCAACTGGAGAGGCCAAAAAAGAGAGAGGCCCCCGAAACACAAAAAAAAAAAAAAAAAAATCACAGACACTAGGAGTTCAAATTGTCACCGATAGCTTGAAATACTGTGTACGCACCTCACTACTTGGAAAATCATTAGTTATTAAATCTGCCACTGGAGTTGTTATTTAAAGTGCTAATTTTAAAAAGCACATTTGGGCTTCCCTGGTGGCGTGGTGGTTGAGAGTCCGCCTGCCGATGCAGGGGACACAAGTTCGTGTCCCGGTCTGGGAGGATCCCGCATGCCGCGGTAGCGGCTGGGCCTGTGAGCCGTGGCCGCTGGTTCTGCGCGTCCGGGGCCTGTGCTCCGCGGCGGGAGGGGCCGCAACAGTGAGGGGCCCGCGTACCGCAAAAAAAAAAAAGCACATTTATTACAATATTACACAATTATATTTTGATAACCATTTATTATTGGCTTTCTTTCAAGCATGTGTATAGTATTTTATATGTTTAAAAAGACCATTATTCTGAGGCGTGGCGCATAAGCTTCACCAGACTGCCACGTGGTCTATGGTACAGAAGTTAGGGGGTCCACAGGCAGCCGCCACTGCTTCTCCTCTCCATCGCCTCCCGGAGGGCGCAGTACCGCCCTGGGCCACAGGGCGGCGGTGCAGGCGGAGGGTGAGGGAAGCTGTCCGGCTGGGCTGAGCCGGGTACCTGGAGCCACCAGCAGGCCGAGCACAAAGGCTAGGGAGCCGCGCTGAGGTGTCTTGCCTTTTAAAAAGTTAATTAGCGGCTTCCCACCGCGGAACTGAATCCTTCCGGAAAGGAATAGAACAAACACTCACACTAGAGGGAGCCCTGACATACCGTTTTTCCAAAATAGTTCTGTTTGTTTTTTCTGATTGCAAAGGTCACACCGGTTGCAAGCAAAATTTTACACGGTGCAGATATGTTAAAAAAAAAATGGTAACGTTTCCTGTTATTCTCCTCCTCTCTTAGAAAACCACTGTTAATATTTTGGCATATATACTTCCATATGTACAGGTGGAATTTTTACCCACTTGCTGGGCTAATATTTGAAGCATTAACTCAGTGGTTCTGGGAGGGGAGATTGTGTGTGTGTGCGTGTGCGTGTGCGTGTGTGTGTGTGTGTGTGTGTGAATGATGTGGGAGATATGTTTGAATTTCACAATGTTGGTGGCTTGGGGGGCGCTGCTGGCATTCAATTGGCAGGGACAGGGGTTCACATGGGTGAAAACTCTGTTATCACCTCAGACTACAAAAGGTAATCACAGTTTTTTAAAAAAAATTAATTTAGGCTGCATTTGGTCTTCGTTGCTGCGCGCGGGCTTTCTCTAGTTGTGGCGAGCGGGGGCTACTCTTCGTTGTGGCCCACGGGCTTCTCCTTGCAGTGGCTTCTCTTGTTGCGGAGCACAGACTCCAGGCACGCGGGCTTCAGTAGTTGTGGCACATGGGCTCAGTAGTTGTGGCTCTTTGGCTCTAGAGCGCAGGCTCAGTAGTTGTGGCGCATGGGCTTAGTTGCTCCACGGCATGTGGGATCTTCCCGGACGAGGGCTCGAACCTGTGTTCCCTGCATTGGCAGGCGGATTCTTAACCACTGCACCACCAGGGAAGTCCCGGTAATCACAGTTTTAAAAACACAGATTAAAATAATGTTTATTCTAGTGTTTAATAGTATATCTCTGCTCTTTTATTTTTTGGTTCTTATACAGAATAATTTCTGATCTTCTTGCTTTCGTAAATCCTAACTTATTTGTTATAAGCAGGGGCAAGCATCTGACACTTTATTGTGTTTTCTAGTGTCATGAGGCCTCAGCATCGACACTTTGAGTATGTGTTATTTGGTTACAAATCGTTTTCCTTCGATTTTTTCCCCCTCTATTACAGCTCAGGCACTATATTGTGATTTTTAAAAATTGAGTATGTGAGAAGCCATATTATTGATGATTGCCATTTCTGGAGAGTAAAGGAAGCGTTACCCCAGTTTCTATTTTTAGGAAGAGGGTGTGGGGTGCCTTCATGTGTATTGTAAGGTCCTTTTCCTCCACCCCCGCCAGCCCCACACCTAGCCAGGAGTGAGGTTTGAAGACTCCGTAAGAAATAGATCCTCCAGGGACTTCCCTGGTGGTGCAGTGGTTGGGAGTCTGCCTGCCGATGCAGGGGACACGGGTTCGTGCCCCGGTCCGGGAAGATCCCACGTGCCGCGGAGCCGCTGGGCCCGTGAGCCATGGCCGCTGAGCCTGCGCGTCCGGAGCCTGTGCTCCGCAACGGGAGACGCCACAACAGTGAGAGGCCCGCGTACCGCAAAAAAAAAAAAAAAAAAAGTCTCTCTAGATGTTGTCAAATATTTCCCTGGGAGGCAAAATTACTCTGGGTTGAGAACCACTGCTTTAGATGATGCATGAAACTTTGGGGAAAAAAACAGTGTCAGTTGTGTTTACATAGGTACAGTAACCAGGTTTTGGATGTAGGAGAGTGAGCTTTCTACTCCTGAACCTCAGAGCTGGGCGCACTATGCACTCACAGGCAGTGCAGAGCACAGCCTCTGCAGGCGAGCCAGCTCCCAGGAGGAGGGGAAGGAAAAAGGGCTGGGCGACACATGCCTTGCCCTCCTTGCAATTCATCTATCAAATAAGTAAAGGTGTGGGGAGAGGGCAAGAGTGTTACGCCCAGCAAAGATGGGTGAGCCAAAAGCTGGAAAGAACCTGGATCCTTGAGTCACCACTTGGAAGAGAGCTGACTCTCTTCCATGCCGGCGGCAGACTTGCTTTTATGAGCAAGAGAGGCTTTTATGTGTTTAGCCACTGAGATTTTTTTAAAAGATTTATTTATTTATTTATAATTTTGGCTGCTTCGGGTCTTAGTTGTGGCACACGGGCCCTTCATTGCGGAGCGCGAGCTTCTCTCTAGCTGTGGTGTGCAGGTTTTCTCTTCTCTAGTTGTGGCACGCAGGCTCCAGGGCATGCGAGCTCGATAGTTGTGACGTGTGGGCTTAGTTGCCCCGCAGCATGTGAAATCTTAGTTCCCTGACCAGGGATCAAACCTGCGTCCCCTGCATTGTAAAGCGGATTCTTTACCACTGGACCAACTGGGAAGTCCCTAGCCACTGAGATTTTGCAGTTTGTTTGTTTCTGGGGCATAGCCTGAGCCAACACAAAGTTTTTTGTTTTCTCACATACATTTCATCCTCTATTCCACTTACAGCTCCCCCATCCCCAGCCAGTGGCAAACTCAATTGTTCAACTTCCTCCACTATACAAGTCTAAAAACTGCTTTCGAGATTTTTATGTTGACTGTTTAAAGGATTTTTTTTTTTAATTTCTAGGAATGCCAGTGAAACAATGGGGGAGGGCAGCAATGTAAGATGAAGTAAATAGGACCATCCTCCCTCAGAAGCTGGATGAAATAGACATATATTTTAAAATATTCTCAAAAACATTTAAGGCTAACTGCAATGTGGTGTCTTGGATTGGATCCCAGAACAGAAAAAAGATATTAGAAAAACTAGCGAAATACTAAGAAAGTCTGGATTTTAGTTAATAGTAACATACCAATGTTAATTTCTTAGACGTGACCAATGTACATGGTTATGTAAGATGTTAACATTGGGGAAACAGACAGAGTGAAGGGTATTCAGAGACTTTCTGTACTAATTTTGCAACTTTTCTGTAAATCTAAAATTATTCCCTAACATAAAGTTTATTTTTAAAAAAAGCAGTGAAGAGCTAACAAGAGTGGGAAGGATTACCCGGCTGAGGTCTGCAAGTAAAACCCCAGAAAGATGAACTGAGTAGGCAAGGTCCCTTTGTCCTTGGGAGCATTTACTGATTCAGAGGAAGCAACTAAGGGGATGAGCTAGGAGTGCGGGGCCCTCCAAGGGTGAGAAATCTGGTATATATGTAATTTTTTATCACCTTAGGCTAGGACCCCAAAGAGCTGCACTTTGGGAGAAGACTGAATTGCAAATAAACCAAGCCACATGGACTTCACTCAGCTTCCTGTCTTTTGGGTGTCCCAGGTAACCTCAAACTTTGAACTTGAATTTTAAATGGTCTTGGTCCGACAAGAGCTTAATCTCCAAAATATACAAACAGCTCATACAACTCAACAACCAAAAAAAAAAGAACCTGATCAAAAAATGGGCAGAAGCCCTTAATAGACATTTCTCCAAAGAAGACCTACAGATGGCCAGTAGGCATGTGAAAAAATGCTCAGCATCACTAATTATTAGAGAAATGCAAATCAAAACTACAATGAGCCATGGCCACTGAGCCTGCGCTCCGCAACGGGAGAGGCCACAACAGTGAGAGGCCCGCGTACCGCAAAAAAAATAAAAAAAAGATGCCTTGAAGAGCGAAGAGACACACCCACAGAGAGGGAGAAAAGGTCAGCAACGCACATGACAGGCAACATGGATAAATCATAAAAAAAGATAACGTTGAGTGAAAGAAGCCAGGCATATAAAAGACTGATTTCATTTAGATGAAA